ACTAAGATTTGACTCGCGCATGTTGTGCCCTCCACTGCTCACTGTCAGACTCTCACACCTAGAGCTGAAATGAGCGGTCAAATTATTGATTTTCCTCTAGCAAAAAAAAGCTACATTTAGGAATGTGCTGCCTTCCTTTGAGATGTTTGATCGTAAACGTCTTTGGGTTTTGGACTGTAGGTGTATGCAGTCCACCTCAGAATAATGGGAACCAGAACTTCATTTTGGGTAATGGCATGTCTTATCATTAAACTCTCGTTCGTTAACTTTCTGATCAAAAGCCTCTAAAGGAACCAGAACTCAAAAGGTGGATTTATCACATTTAAAAAAAAAATAAATGTTCATATCTCTCCTACAATTTGCTCATTTACACGCCCGCATTTCAAATGTATCTCCCAATCTCCATTCTTCAGTGACAATAACAAAAAACAGTTTATGGAAGCTTTCATTTTCTTCCTTTTACAGAAGACTAGTGTTGATTCTGCTACAGTTTGTGTGCCGTTTAATGCTGTAAGCTATAAACTCAGTATCATATCCAAAACATGCCTCCAACAAAATGATTACTAGTGTCAAAGCCTGGTGTGACAAAGACAGAGACAGCTCACTGATGTTACACACCGGCTAACACAGTCTAGTGTAAAGGACTCGTCTCACAGTGCTTAATGCAGGAACCACTGGTTGGAGGTGAATCTGATGGAAAAGGAGGCAGGAGGTGGAAACTACAAACTACTAATGCCAATCAAATCATTCAAATCTGAGGCAGACTTTCTTGACTTGGTAAATCAGTATAACTCTACGGGGCAATAAATGTTCATTCACAGACACCGACTTGGTGACAGTGCCATGAAAGAATTTATTTTTTAAACAACTTTATTGTTGTTGTAAATGTAAATGTGCTGCAGGTAGAGAGGGTGACCGTATCAGTTCAACGTCCTCCTCTCTTTCCAATCATACCTATTTATCACCTCATTATATCGTCATAATATTTAGGGCGGTGGAATGTCTAAACGCTGCCGGTACCGTTCAGTAAACACTGAGACGCTTTCTCCCGGTAGGAGCTCGGTACCGACCCAGGTGTAGGCTCCCTCTTCATGGGACTTTTTAGCACACACACAAAAAAAAAACCCCGCAAGCAGCATCACATTTTAAACACACGGAGCCGCCCCCCGGTATGTTAGCCCTCACTCAAGTTATGACAGCAGCGTTTAGTTAGTTAGTTAGTTAGTTACGTTAGTTACGTTACGCAGTTACGCAGTCAGTTCTTAGCTCTCATTCAATTCGGTGAAACGGAACTACGGCTAGCAAACTTCTCCGCTGTGTTCGCATCCCTCCGGACGTAACTGTGTTACACTGCGTACGTTTCAACACTCAGCGCCACTATTTCACGTTAACTCACAAAGCCGCTCGCTTATTGTTTGTGTTAAAAAAAAGACACGACCATTCCCCTGCTGTACAAACTGGGAACTTGGCAGCCGAAGGACTTGTGGCTGAGACACTTTCAATTTAGGAAAAGGGAACCTTTAGCTAACTTTTCCATACCTTTTAGACGCCGAATATCTCCCCGTCGGTGCTACCACTTCTTGGCGGCCATAAATCCCGGTTTTGACAAGGTCGTCCTCGGCAGGAATAACGAAAATCCGAGTGTGTATGTCTTAACTCTTGCCAGAGCCAGTGATTTTTCGCACTCAGCTCCTCTCTCTGCGTGGCTCCAGTTAACAGCCGCTGCAGTTTTTTCCACAAGCCTGGCGCGGGAGCGAGCGCAAGGGGATACTGGGCAGGCCGGGAGAACCGCGTGGACGCGCATTTTACAAGACACACCAAAACCGTCTGCTCAGTTCAAGCTGGTTGTGCTGTGTTTGTGATAAAAGCTAGTGTTTTTATATGGGGCGAAAGAAGTGTGTCGTACCGTTAACAGCATCTTCTGTAGCTGCTCAAGTTCTAAATGCTAAATGGGTCCTTTCTATGCAACTTTCAACTTACACTCCACTGCATTTGTCTGACAGTAAGAGTTACTGGTTACATGTATCTCCAAATTTGGTGATTTTGAATTTTTCTGAAAAAATGATTAATTGTTCCTTTATAAACTGAGAAAAGTCTCCTATTTATTCACCTAAATTACATATAAGAAAAACCTTGGATTAAATGTAAAATGCATTTGTCACAATGCTGAAAATACTGAGAATACTTTTAAAACTTTTAAGCACACTTAAGTACACAGGTTTTGAATACTGAACTTATACCTGCAGTGTTGTATTTTCACTGTGTGCTATTAGTGCTCTTACTTAAGTATAGGATCTGAATACTTCCACCACTGGTTGATTATATCAGTAAATGCATTGACTCATTTTAATGAAAGCCCTGGAAGAAGCTAGTAAGTGGACCTTCAGTTCTTTTTCTTTTCTTTCAGTCAGTTCTTAAATGTGGATTCACAAAATAGTATGTTGTAGCTCTTCCTCCATCAACTACATTCTTTAAAATGCTTCGTATATTAATGCATCAGTAATAATAATAAGGTGAAACATTCAGAAAATAACAACACTCTGAATGAGAAATTTGACATTAATTGAAATGGAATATTTTCTTATTGAGGTATATATTATATATAATATATATATATATAATATATAGAGGTATTAATACTTTTACTCAAGTAAAAGATTTGAATACTTCCATCACTGTTAATGACCTCAGAGTCATTGTTGCATTGTAGCCTACCTCCTATGCAATACTATTCTGTGGTATTACAGTATAGTGTTTGGTATTGCTGCGACATTTGTTCATCACACTGTTCTTTCTATTAATGTCTGTAAAGAAAAGCCACGTTCTGATGATAAATGATGAGGCCACTCTTCAAAGCAGAGGAGATTGTATGGAACAGACAGCTGACATCATGTGCAGCACAAAGCCACAGTGAGTGTTTGCATGTTAGTTATTGAAAAGCGTTGAGTGCAGTCAGTGTGTCTTTTTATTGACATGACGCCTCTCATAAGGGATAATAACCGCTCCTCTCCTGCTGCTTACAGGTGCATTTGGAAATATTCTAATCATAATTAAAAGTTCACATGAAACACAGTTAAGTGTAATTGTAGAATCTTCCACTCTGAGGATAATGTTTAGTTTTGCATACCAACAGCTTATATAATGAATCGAACATTTAGTTTTGATGGTAATGCTTTGCAATTGATGTAAGAGACAATTCAGATCGCACTCAGTTCGTGGAAGCTTTGGCAGTTGTTTCTCTGCAGTCTTTTTCTTAAACCTACAAGACACAAAACAATACATTTGGTACAATAGTTTGTTTGGATAAGTGACATTTACAACTTTAGAACTTGGATAAAAGAGCTCACAAAAAGAACCGGAAGGCAACATACGTTTGGGAAGAAGAGGAGGAGCTGAGCCAGAGGTTGACATGTGGGAATGACTCAAGTTTTTTTACACATTCCAAGCATTGTTTCCCCCTCCTCCTCCTCCTCCTCCTCCTCCTCCTCGCCGTCCTCCTTGCCCCAGTCCTGGGCACTGAGGCCAAGGATTTTCCAGGGCTGGGGGAGATGGAGCGGATGATGGGTCAACGAAGAGGAAGGATGACTCGCTTTTTCCTCTTTTGCTTTTTTAAGTGTAATTCTCTCCTTCTCCAGCTAAATAAATAGGAGTCAGAGGGGTATTGTTGGATACTTTTATACGTTTTAAGGAGGGAGCAGGAGATGAAGATAGAGGAGACAATGAAACAGCCCCATATGGAAACTGCTTAAGAGGTGTACTTTTGCATTATTTGCTGAGGCAGTTAATCCAAAGAGTTTTCCCTCAGAGTTAATGGGTATTTAGAAAGAGGGGATAGATGTGGTTTGTAAAGTAAAAACTGGAGCTACAAGTATTTTGTGCTGATTTGTATACAGGGAATTTCCAAAAGTGCCCATGTCCCTTGACTGTGGTAGAAACAAGATCAATTTCAATGCATTTGCATATTTTGGTCTGTGTGGTCAAATCATTTTGAAATAAATGAATGCTGAAAAGTAAAAAGTGAAAATGCATGAGGTGTAATAGTTACATTTTTTGCAGAGCATTGCAGTATGACACTGTTTTGTTTTATAGCTCCCATGAAGAAAACTAGTTTTATCATCAAATGTGTGACAGCCTTTTTCAAAATAATCAACACATTTAATTACATTTCAAGAAGATAAACAGAACTGAACCGCTTGTAGCAGAGAATTCATTTATGAAAATGGAGCTTGAAATTTTGTCAAAAACTGTTTTAACATCACAGTCACTTGGGTGGAGTTATTGCAAGCACCACCATATAACAGTTCCCTTACTCTTTATGATCTGCGTCTTAGTTGGAGCACAGAGCCAAAGAAATGAGTGAGTGAGACAGGTTGTCATGAGTCAGGGTCCGCTGGAACAGATGCAATGAAGTATGAACCCTGATGATGGAATGAAGAAAACTAATTCTTCGCCCTATTATGGAAAAGAGTGTCAATTTAAAGAACAATCAGCAAAACATCGTGTCCCTAATCACTCAGTATCTCACACGCCATTGAATATTTTGCCCATTGTTGTACCGTCGCCGTACCAGAAGACATGGCTTAATTAACGCCTTTGTTACAGCAAGCGTCTGACCTGCTTAAATATCTTTACGCCAGCCACTGAAGACAGCCAGGGACCAGCTGCAGGGAAGCTCACTGTAATGTCTGACCTTAATGTCCTGTTAGGGAAATGAACAAAAAGTCATTAAAAAACTATTGTGCTGAACCTGTGTTTCTCCTTGGAGTCTGTTTGGGGGGGGGGGGGGGGACTTTTAGGGGAATTAACAGTCTGAATATTTGAAATCATCTTCTAGCAGACAATGCTGAAAAACATTTTTAATCACTATTACATCTCACTGCAGATGTTCAATTGTGACTAATTCCCCTACAATGTGTTATTGGCCCACATACAAGCAAAAACGAAATCCGCCAGCTCTTTGACATGCCCGAATGTACACTAAACAAAGGACTCATTCTGACCGTATGTGCTAACAGAAACCTTCAGGAATCGAGACCGTTGATGGCCAATTCAGCACATGACGCCATGACTCATCCCCTCGTGCCTGAGTTCCCCCCTCCCTCCTGCTGTCCAGATCTGTGGCTCTCTGCGGTGCTTGGCTCCTCTCTCCTAATGTCAACCCGCCACGACAGGCAGTGAAGCCGGCCAAGGGATGCAGACACGCCCTACTTGAGGAGGAAGGTGGCTTTCATTTCAAGTTCTTTCCTCATGTAGACAAAGACTGGTGGGAATTGATGGTGTAGGCAAGAAGAGCAAACCCAAAGGGACGTCACGAGGACGTGAGCGCTGCCTACCTGCTCCTATCCGTTCCAACCATTCTGCCGGTCTTAAAACAGATTTATGAGATTTTTGCTTATTTTGACCCCGCTTTGGAGGTGGGTCAAACATCTTGACTTAAACATCAGGTAAAAATGGTATAACAAGGTAGAGAAATTACCTTCACCATTCTCCCCTTTTTCTCCTCTTGCTGTTGTTGTGTTTTTACAGCTTTGGCGCATTCAAAAGCATAAAAAAGGCTTAGCTAAGCTCATTATACAAATGAGCATTGGGCCTTGTGCACACACAGAGCAGTGAACATGAAAGATGACCCAGAGTTAAAAGGGTAAACCAACTCTAATAAGCACGAGTGTCTCCACTGTCACTGAAGCTCCACTGGAGTAGTTTATTCCCCATAGTACATCACACGCAGAGTAGATTGTGTTTATATTTTTCATTTTTCCAGCAAGCGTGCCCCGAGGATTATGCACTCCGACCAAACCATTAGTCCAGCCTGAAAATATCTTAACAGCAATGGATGATTGCCATGGAATATTGCACCAGACGTTATGGTCCGCAGAGAATAATCATTAAGAGTTTGGTGACTCTTCTTTCCTTAACTACACCATGAGGTTGTTTCATCTAACGCCCCCTGCAGGTCAACACTGTCAATTATCCATGGAATGGCCCAGATAAATCTTGTACATTTACTGTGTCATGGTTGCGAGATGATGTATTCGACTGAACTTATTGATCCCTCGACTTTTCCTTCTACCGCCACCATAGAGGTTGAATTTCTGGTCTTTTAAATTTCAAGTTTCAAACAATTTAATTGCTGGATTACCACAGAATTTGGGTTTCCCCTCAGGATGAAGTGTTATTCCTTTGGTGGCCCCTTAACCCCGTGCCAATCATGGGTTTATAACAAATAACCTGCCAAAGTAAATTCCATCAACATTCCTCGAACTGTACTTGTGTATAGTGTCGAAATTGCAGTAGTAACATACTAACACACTAATCAAAATGTTTAACAGGTCAACAGTATATCCTATAACATCAGCGATGTTAACATCACAACATGTTTCCATAGTGTCACGTTATCATGCTGGCATCACATCACAGGGAATTAGAGTGACAATAAATTAAATTATCACAAAAAAAGCGGTGTTTTGATCGCGTCCAGGTTGTAAAGTTCAAACTTTCCATAATACCTGTAAATGTCCAAAAAGTCCTCCCCACACGGCATCACATGCACAGGAGAGCTGACCCTTTGCAACGCGCATGTAAAACAGAAACAAGGTTGCCCTGATTGTTCCACACATATAAGTCAGGATCACAGCAGTCAGCGATTGTTATATTAGCTCAACTGTTACAACCGACACATCTCCTGTGGAAAGAGAACATACCTGTTAGGGAACAATTGTTTGGATATTGAACACTGTGACCACATCAGGCATTGTGGACAGGAAGTCTCAGCTGCAAAAAGGAAATGGGCATCAGGAATGGAAACAGAAGGGCTATAATGTCAACTGAGAAACAACTACATGCTGAAGTTTGCAACTCCGATAGTTCGCATCCAAGCTAATTGGCCGCTCCCTGATCAGACAAATAGGATAAAATAATTACATTCCGGTCGAGTCATCTGGATTTACAAAAAAGATTTTATGGCCTTAGTCTTCTACAAGTCATTTTGTTCTCTCGTGTCGTCTCTCTCTGGAATAACAAGTCTATGAATGGAATACTCAAACATGATGACAGTAGGTATTGTTCCCAAAGCTGTGTGCAGCCCAGTGGCTGTGAAGAGCCACAAGTGCAAATAATTTGTCTCCTTTCTCCGAATCCACTAAATTGACAGCCAAGCTGCCAATTAAACTAACCAATCCAATCTGTTTGACCTACTGAATTAAATAGCTGAGGCCTGACCAAGCACAGTTCAAAAGTGACGTTTGCAGCAGATTTAGCCACATAAGTTTAAAGAACTGTAAAAAGCTCTCTGATAATGTAGTGTTTAGTTGGCAAATAAAAATGAACTGTTGCTTTAATAATTTATGTTGCAAATTTAGACACTACATCCAAAGAGAAAATGTTTAACCCCTTAAAAATCCAGTGTGGAGGTCTATTGGCAGAAATGAATAAAATTCACAGGCATGTTTCCATTAGTGTATTAATCACCTGATAATAAATGCTGGTTCTGTTACCTAGAATAACGTTTCTATCACAGAGGGAGTGGTCCTCTTCTTATGGAGTCCACCATGTTGAACCGCAATGTTTCTACAGTAGCTCCAGAGGTAACAAACTTAGTTGGTTGCAATTCTACCACTGAAAATCCACTAAAACTGTTCCTTTAACAGTGGTTATATAAACTACACTAACTTTGAGGCCGACTTTCTGAATAAGATTAAATAAGAAATCTAGGGCAGTGGTACCCAGTGTATCTAACTTTGATTTCCATTTCAGTGCAAACATCCCCAGCATGTCATGAACCTATCCAACCAAACTCAGATGATGTAAATACGTTTATTGAAAACACAAACACTTTTTCACACAGGAAAAAAATTATAAATGGCACATTTTTTCTTCAGCAGAGAATGAAAAAAGAAAGTCTCCTCAACAATATCTCTTGGATATGGTACATACAAATCCACTGACATTTTTCTTTGATCAGAATATGGTTGAGAATGGCTTAGGTATTGTTGTGGAAGCATTTGCTATAAATGGATGGTGAAGACAGAACAGGACCAGTGAGTGACAGAAAACAGTTTCATGTCTTCTCATCTGATTATTTTATAAAACAAACTACAGCTATATTAATAAAATGTGAACATAGTTTTAAAAATATGTAAAAATAATAAATAAATATGAGAAGCTACATCACCTTCACCTACATCACCTTAGCAGAGAAATAAAAGATGTTTTAAAATCAATTGGGATGACAGACCGACAGGAAGCGTCGCTGCCAAGGAGCAGCGTCTACTCAGCGTCACTGTGAATCTCAATCCATCAAATCGGTTGGACTTGGTCCAATTATCTAGGACAAAAGAAAGCAAAAGACACTCATAACTCATTCACAGCCGAAACAAAAACAAAATCAAACACTGCTGAAGCAATTAAACAAGCTCATGAATAAACAAACCTTGAGGTGAAATTGTCAATTAGTCTGACTGATTTGTCTTTAACATTTTGGTCAGACTGAGAAAGACACTTTAAGAGCCTCATTATAGGCATATTCTTTACATTTAACTGACAATTACAAACAATTAAAACAAATAAGCCAATAATAAAAAGTAATTAGTTCCATCTGACAGTCTTACCTGTCCAAGCGGTTGACCACGTCTCTCACAGTGTTGATGAGATTCTCGTGTTCTTGGGGGTTACTGACGATGATGCTGTGGAGCTTCTTCATGTAGGAGTCGATGGTGTCGAGACTGGGGGTCTCTCCACTACCTGTACGACAGCAAATATGTGATGTCAGTACTTGTGGTTGTTTTTAAGGTGAAAGATGTTCACAGGACAACACAAACCTTAAGGTTTAAATTTTAAGCTGCCAACAACATTTCTTTTACACGTTGTAAAGTTTTATGTCCAACTACTGCTAACAGTCTACAAAAATCTTTAATCCGCCTTTTATGTTTACAGCTATGGGTGTTTTATGTTCGTGTTAGGCGGTGGTGGGGGTAACCACACTGGAAGGGCAGAAAGCACCAGATGACAAGACCAATCAGAGTATGAATGATCCGAGCACGGGGACAATCAGCCACTTCTGGTCACTGCTGATGTTTTTTGCTGCGAGCAACAGCAAAGGACATCCCCAGACCGGGTCAAAGAGTCAGAGTCTGGCTGGCAGCTGGCAAGAGTGACCATCAGCTTGATACTTCTGACTTGTTGTAGTTCAAATATGTGACAAAGCAGTGGGCCTCATGCATGAATCGCTCATACGCACAGACTGGATCTTAAATTGTGTGTGAGAACAATTTGTTTTGTGCCATTCATACTTTCCTGCTTTTTGCATTTTGTGCTGTTAAATATTAATAATGGTGATGAAGAAGCCATTTACTTTATGAAAACACAGAAGGAAAATGTTACAGCTAAAACTATATATTCATTTAATAATCTAAATGTTTTACACAAAGATGATAAGGAGGCAGATTCTTCAAAACCTGTGTGCCGCTCTGGAGCCGCAACTTAGAGACAAAACTGCTATTGATTTCTTGGCTACTGGGACCTTCCAGAGAACGACTGGTGATGTTCTAGCATATCCCAGTCCACTGTTAGTCATGCGCTCCCCAGAGTGTCCCAGGATGTCATCCAGTTACCACCACAGTACATTCAGCAGTGCCATACTCTCTGCTGCTCAATGACCCAGATAAATCGACTGTACTCGTGCGCATCAAGGCCTCCAAGTCCTCAATAGAAAACAATTCCATTCAATCAACATCCAAATAACATGTGATGCACAGAATCACACCTTGAACGTGGTGGGCGCAAAGTCTGACTGCACCCCCAACAGAGACCTCCAATGATGGCTCAGATGCACTCATCCATGTCTGTTTTAGTATTTTCCTGCCCCCGTTCCATGGCTGTAATAGTAGTCATTTTTTGGCGGCCATTTTCAGAGTTCTTTCTTCTCTTCGCATTAATTACACTGGTGCCCGTTTACGCTTTTCTGAACCAGTGACCCCACTCATACTCGAAAATAAGATTTCTGTCCTCAGCAAAACTTTACAGTAAATTTTCTAACTTTTTTTTTTGCTTGCTGTCCTTTGGTGGTATTTAATTTCCTTTTGCTTCCTTTTCTTTTTTCGTTTTTGAGTTTACCGTTACCTGTCAAATTTCAGTGGCTTGTTGGTTTGTGGTTCACACGCAGCACAGAAGTGTGCTGCCCTTATATGGATTTATTGAGGTATTTCCATATGCTAATTGCAAATTTCCTGGCACGCACAACCAATTTGAGATCAATTACAATTCATCAACAGGCTCAGGTGGGTAAGAACAGACTTGGCTGTCAGCTCACCTTTAATGAAGCCCACGTAGAACTCCTGGGTTTGGTAACAATAGGCCTCA